CCCTCATAATGGAAGACCATCTCCTATTAGAAGCCCGCTGCCGATTATATGACTTGAAAGCCAAATAGAAGACCATGGTCTTCTATTATGTCCGCGAAAAAAATCCGAAAATAGGGGACTTTTCAAAAACATTTTGCCAAAACGTACTTCTAATAGGGGACGGACTTCAAGTACGTGAGGATATCGTTGGGCCTCTAGCAGGCGACAACATTTGACTAATGCTTATAATACGTAAAAAGGTTGGCTTAAACGGTGTATGGTATCCCATGGGAATGTGGTATGGTATGTGGGAGAAAGAGGAGACCATATGACCTGTTTAAATCAACATCAAACTCTCGATGACACAGCATTAGAAGATCCAGATAAAACTAAGTCATTTGAATTGCCTCAACGTAGCATCTCTAGTGACAATTGCAATATGCGGTTTGAATCGTCCGTCATCTATGACGAATGAAGGAAACAAATATAGACGCAAGAGGCTAGAATCAGTCTATACACTGGCTAATAATGGGTACAATAACAAACAGACAATATGCGCTCAATAGTTGCCCACGATTAAATCGTGGATTAAGAAAAATTCGGGAACAGGTTTTGTCAGACCAGAGCCACAGATGTCCGATGGAGCTATAGTTCATAATCTTAGACCTAGGAAAGCTGAAAAAGTGATCGAAAATTGATGGCTTCTATCTTGAGTTTAGCCAACTTTTTTACGTATTATAAGCATTATAGTTTATGTTCTACTTTCTAGATATGATTCTTTTCCGTTCTGATGTTTAACAAATTTTTATTCTCTTTTTAATTTATCGTGTCTACTGATGAAGATGCAAAGCATCGAAACGCTTAGACGAATATAATTTGTGGGAATAAAATTACAATTTAAAAGTATCAAAGGCTACAAAATCCTTCTGCATGTATTTTTCTGAAGCACTGACAAACGTCAGTCAGCTAAAAAGATTGACGGTACTTTTTACCATAAGAATGTGAGTGTTTTCTCATTCATCCCGTATCTAAGAAATATTTTCGGTATATGTCATTCGCTCGAATCACGATACATTCTATTTTTTCTTACTTTACCATTCTTTAACTGCGCACTATTCAGGTGAGAAATAATGATGCGACACATTTTTCCTGACCTTCTCGCATACATAAGTACAGATAATACTTCGGTGACTACACTACGTTTGATAAAAAATCAAATATTCTATTTTGTCTCTCGGAAAAAAGACCACATAGTCGAGTAATAATGAGTGACTTATCTAGTCAGAACCTTCAAAGAAATTCAATGGCGTTGCTGTCATCAACATTATCCTCAACTTCGTCACTGTTGTCAGCTGATAATTCATCTACCGGATCAAGGGTTTTCGCACAAGTACCGTCGAAGAAATGGGTTATTGTTGATCATTCGAATGTATATCGGGTATTGAAAGTCGGTGGCATGAAATGGAAAATAACGAATTCGAATTCATCTCAGTGGTACGCAAATAACGGGCCAAATAGGGCTAAAAGCCTGCCTATAATATAATAAGATAATTAATATCTGGTGAGATAACTTGATACAAAGACTTTACTACAGATATATTCAACTGATAAATATATTCAATGAATGAACTTTTGTCAAGAAAAAACGCTTTAGCAATAATTCGATGAAGTAAGGTTTCTATGACACATAACTAGATCATATCTCAAACAATTCAAGTAGAAATATTTCAAGTTCGCACAGTTAAAAAGTACAGAGTATCCTCTTCAACACGACTCAAGCTGGCTCTTTACATTACTGTCGCTAAGGCGGGTTGGCTATATTGTTCGACATTTACTGCAAACGTATTGTGTTCGAACCTCGGCGCTGCCAGGTCATATGATAATCTTGGACAGGGCCACGTTGTGACGTACAATACACCTCAGCTGGCTAGTTCAGGTAGCCTTCCGTAAAGCTAGTATGTGGTTAGTGAATGTGTATGGGGAGTTAACTGATTGGGCGGAAGAACTCAGTGCGTCAGGGTAGCCTTCTGACTGGATCTGTGGTTAATCATTCGTAACGAGATGGGAGACCATGTCAGAAGCTTGTCAACTGCAGGGAAGATATCGGACTACTGAAACTGCCATTTAGCAACACCCGATAACGGGAACGGTAGGCGCATGGTGGAGTATACTTTCTTCTTCTTCCTTTATATTGCTTGGATTCGACATGACATAGGGTTTCATAGTAGTTGCTTGTATCACATGATTTGTGTAGAAAAGATCACCGTAGTATCTTGTAAGTGTAAAAAAGGACGAAATGGGAGATCAGTGGAAAAAGGTATGGTTATATCATGAAGTTCTGCAGTAGTCTGAAATGATTCTGACGAGGGAAGTACCCGAACTGATAAATCGCTTTTTCAACGAAACCGAGTGGACTATAGGTAGTCGACGATGCTGATTCCGAATATCACCATGAATGCTGCTGCTAGGCC